TGAGACAGGGTCTCACTATGTAGTTGAGACTGACCTGGAACTCACTGTGTAACCCAGGCTGGTCTCAAACTCACAGCGATCCTCCTGCCTCAGCCTCCTGAGTGCTGGAATTACAGGTGTGTGCTACCATGCCCGGCTATGGATTATTTTTGAAATTAAAAAAAAAAAGCCATGTTTGCTGAAACAGGATCTCACTATGCTGATCCTCCTGACTCAGCCTCCTGAGAGCTGGGATTACAGGCAAGCACCAACACGCCTGGCTATTTTTAAAAGCCTTTTATCTTTAAAGGGGAAAATAACTCTGTAGAAAGAGGAGGCACCAATACTAGTGCTGGGCAGTTTGGCCAGTAGGGACACCAGGGCAGGGTGTCCCGGGGACCAGAGGGCCAAGGCAGGAAAAGGGACAGCGGCAGGAGGCCAGGGAACCCCAGCCCCAGGTCCTGGAGGGGGCACAGCAGGTGTGGGCCGCTAAGGCCTGGAGGAATTTCCTGACCATCGGAAGGGAACTTTCACACCACCCCTTCCTGACAGCTGCAGGTATGTGCAGGCCTGAGCCATCATCCTTCAGGACTGAGCCATCATCCTTTTATAGACACGCGTTTTCCAGGAGCCAGGGGCTCAGCACTCAGGCATTTAGCACCTCCCTGGCCAAACTGGCAGGGGGTGGGTTGCTGCTGGTGCCAGGGCTGATGGCAGCCTGTCCCATCTGACACCACCTTGGCCCTGGGGCCATTTCTGTCACAGGCGAGCGGGGAACTGGGTGCCCTTTGGCCTCCCTCACCTCACCACAGGGCCTGCCTGGGCACACCCTCAACAGGTGGTGGCCTTCTGGCCTCTGTTCACTCAGTGGCCTCCGACTTCAGGTGCTCGAAGGGTTAGGACGCGCTTCTTGGCCCTAAAGCTGCCTCCCCACCCTCCCCAGATGTGCTGTGCACACCTCACATACACTTCACTGAGACCCGACTGTCACCACCCCTGTCACATGGCACACTGCCAGGCCTCCCTGGCCCCGGGAGCGCAGTCACCTGGGTCAGGCTCCAGTCTTCCCTTTCCCCCTGGGGCAAGAATTTGGGCAGCACCAGCCAGGGAGCCGGGCGCGGAACCCAGCCCACCCGCTCAACAGCACCAGCCGGCTCTTCTGCTGCGACACTGCCCTGGTCTTCTCCACTCGGTCACGTCACCCAGCCGTCTGCACCTGAGCAGCTCGTGCTTGGAGGGAGGCGCACGGCGTATTTGTAGACGTGTACACACCACTGTTGTAATTCAGTAGTTTTTTTGGGGGGGTGCTTCGAGGCTTTGGAAAATACTTTCTTCTTAAAATTTTGATCCTTTTTGACTGATAGGGTCTTCCTATTCTGTTCAGGCTGGCCTAGACCTTGCAGTGATCCTTCTGCCTCAGCCTCCTGAGTGCTGGGATTACAGGCACGTACCACTGGGGTAAGCTTGAAATTCCGATCCTCCTGGAATGCCGGTCACAGACATGTCACACAGCTGGGATCATAAATCCTTTGGAGGCCAGTATTAAAGGTTTGGCTTTCACCCTGTGGGGCTATCTGTGGCCTGGAGGAAGTCAGGTCTCCATCACACACAGCTCTGATGTGCCACCTTACAGAGGCCCAGTGACCCTGGACCGGGCCTCCTGGGACAAACGTTCCTCTTTATTTCCAGTTCAGTGATGGAAAGCTGACTAGCACCCAGGGCCCAGCAAGCTCGTCTCCCTTGACATTCCCAGTGGGTGCAGGACATTAGCTGGCCTCAGCTTAACTACCTCAGTAATCCAAACCAAGGGCCGAGAGTTTTCACCTCAAATCCTCTGAACTCACTTCTATTCTAGTATTCTTTACTCCTAGTAAAGGTGAATTACTGGTAATATTTTGTTTGTTTTTGTTTTCTGAGACAGGCTCTCAATATGCTCCTCAGGCCAACCTTGAACTCACTATGTAACTGAGGCTGGCCTCAAACTTACAGTGATCCTCCTGCCTCAGCCTCCCAAGTGCTGGGATGACAGGTGTGCACCACCATGCCCAGAATACTGGCAATATTTTGATATTTAAAAGGTAAACTGAGTTACAGCAGTGATTGTTGCCAATTAGATATTTTCTCACAAATCCCACCCTGGCCCTCAGTGGTACTGGATTAACTCAGGTACTCCAGAGTGCACTGAACAGACCCGTGTCCCCGCCTCCCAGCCTCCTGTGTGCTGACATGGCCGCAGCCTGGCTCTTGCTATTTTCCATTTATTACCACAGTGGACAATCATTCACAAAGTGCAACCCTACATTACTCGCCACAGCCCCGCTGCCCCCACTGGAATACTTGGAAATTCATTCTTGGAGCATCACGGACCGGAAGCTTGTGTGGGTGGAAAATTATTGCCACCGCCAATGTCACGAGGAGGACACACAGGCAAACGGGACACAGACAGAAGGGCACGGGAGGGCTGGGGGAAAGTCGGAGGGAACACCCTGCGGAGGGCCGGGGAGAGCAGCCCCCACAGCCCTCGACTCACGCTGTCACTAGAACAGTGACAGTGGTGCCGTGGCCTTGTCACATCTCCACACGCCAGAGCCTCAGCCCCAAAACAAGGGAGATTCCCGACCCAGGCACTCAGATGCACTCACAGCCCGAGGCAGTCAGGGAGCAGACGGGCAGAGCCAGCCTGTCCTCACAGGCGGTCGTGAGTGTCTGACAACACTGATTAAGAGGAAGAGGCAACTTGAGCAGCTCCAGAAAACATCAGCGATTAAAAAATCTGAACAAATGAGACCAAAAAAAGGGACACAACTACGGACCTAACCATTAGGCCCTACAAAACCCTCACCCATAAACACAATGTACACACACACGCACGCACACACACACACCAGTCAGGTAAATGCCCAAAGGAAGGCAAATCCCAATGTCTGCTCTCTTTGGAATTCTCAAGCAATCCAAGACTGGGCGAAAGAGAAGTCCTCCTGGGTCCACTCAAATGCCCTGGGTCACCACCGCTGCTGTTCCTCCTTCACAGCCATCTGCGTCTGCACACAACTTCTTCCTCCTTTGGAGTCAGTCACAGTGTGTCTTCTCCAACCAGAGCGCCCTCCCTCCCGGGCCCTGCATTTTAGTTCTTTCAGGCAAAGCACCCCCCAAGGTAGTGTGTGACTCCAGGGGATCGGGTGGTGGAAGCTGGCAGCAACGCACACACAGCGCGAGACACCCACCAACCCAGATGTGTCTGAGGGGAGGCGGTGATGGAAGGTCCTGGGTGTGGCTCAGAGCGCTCCCGAGGCTGCCTGTCCAACACTCCTGTGAACCCAGGTGCTCTTCTGACCTCCGACCCCAGGCTTCTCTGAGGGCCTGGTCTGTTGGGGCTGCCTGGGGTCTCTGGCATCAGTGATCAGCATACACTCGGGGTCATGGAGACTTGAGGTGGGGCTCCCAGTGCTGCAGACAGGCACAGCCACACAAGCTAAGCCATCCAGCACGCCCCCCGGTCTTCAGCTGTTCCAGTCGCATTCACAAACTAAGCGTTAGTAGCCGGCAAGGACCAGATGTCTGTCCTATCCTCACTGAAGCTCGGCACACAGGCCCTGCTCGCATGTACAGCGGCTCCTCGTCTGACCCTGGACCTAGGGTTACAGCCCTGCCGCTCAACAGGCTGGCTCTCTGCTCCAGCTCATCAGCAAGGCAGTGTCCCGCCGATTCCAGTTTTAGGTGCGGCAGTGCCTGAGAAGGGCGGAGTCCCTCGGGAGGAAGCTGAGGTGTAAGGCAGGAGAGGACATCAAGTTCCAGGCAGTCATTGCACCGATAACACATTTTCAGAGTGGCGGACTTGGGGCAAGGGAGAACAAGACTGTGCTGACAACTGAGCACAGTGCCTGAAGAGGCACCGGGTCCCCTGGGACTCAGCAGCACAGGCTCCTGGGTGCACAGGCACCTGCAATACCGACAGCTCAGTGGCTCCACACACCCCCTTAGCAGACTGGGAGGCCGCACTCCCGGAGGCCCGCACTGAGGGTACTGTTACAGTCGTGTCTTCCGTTCTTCCATTCCTAAAGCCCGCGGTGGGGGAGGGTGTTGGACCACTTCCGTCTTCTGGGAAGGAGTGCAAAGGGGAGCGTGGCTCAGGGTGACCCTTCCAGGAGCAGGTGGAAGGGCTGGCGGGAGGCCTCCCATCCATCCGGACAAACACACATACAGAAAAGGATTATTGCCAGCTTGTGCACTTTCACAATGTGATTTTTGTATTTCGAAAACTTGAATTGTCCCTGGAAGAGAAAATGGGAAAAAACAGAGCACTCAGTACATGGGCTGCCTGGACAGGAGCACACACACGGGGGCGGACACAGACACCCCAGGGCTTCCTTCCCTACTTTCCTAATCCAAACAGCACCTGCCTCCCGGCCCTGCCAAAGCTTCACTCAGATGTTTGTAATAGCAAATGACCAGAAGCCACCTCAATGCAGAGGGGCTGGTTAAACATTAATGGGGAACATTCACATAATATAACACTACACAGCTAAAAATAGAAAAAAGCAGCTTTTTACTAATGTGGAAAGCTCCCCAAGACTGAGTGAACCTAAAGAGCAAGCCCCCTAACAGTGGACACCTAGCCAGGCAGTAGGATCACTGTTTGAGGCCATCCTGAGCTACATGGTGAGTTCAAAGCAAGCCTGAACTACACAGCGAGGCCCTTTATCAAAAAGACCAACCTCCCCGCCAAACAAACAAGCCAACCCCTCAAAAGTGTGCACACAGTAGCTGCCTTTTGTGTGCGGGGTTTGGGGAACATGGTCTATGCTCACAATTGCATGCGTACACACTCAGAAGGGCTGCAGAGACCCAGGCCCCAGTTTCAAACATGGAGCTGCTTATACAAGGCGGTTCCCAGAGGCCTTGGCTGCGCCCTGATGAGCAGCTCCGGGTGAGGTGCGTTCTCTTGGTCGCCTTCTGTGGATGCAGTTTGGCAACTGCTGTCACCCTAGCAGGTCACACCACCACTGGAACCCCAGCTTCTCAGAGTTCTCTGCAGGGATGTTACAGGTCACCTAGCAGCTGTGCCAGCCAGGGCTTCCAGCTTAGCTATGCAGAGGCACGGACAGAGACACCCTCAACCTGGCTTCTGGGGTCATTACTATTTCCCTTTGGGTTTGAAAGGGACCAGTCTTAAACTGGTTATAAATACTGGGCCCCAGACAACTGGTCCAGAGTAAACAGACACAGGATTGAACCCAGCCAGAGCCAGTGTCCCCCCTACAGCCGGTACTGGCAGCTGACAGAGTCAAGAGCCCCTCACCAAGAGGGCAAGCCAGGCCAGTGAGCAGGCCACTGGGCAGCCCATGCGCCCTGAAGACCCTGGCATCGGTTTAACTGTGGCTCACCTGCCAACGGCCCGAGAAGCTCACCCATTTCCATCCAAAGAGCTGTAGGCCGAACACAAAGGTAACGGGTGATCATCTCTTTAAAAAGACCAATGGTGTTTAAAAAAAACAACCCTTTCAGACAGTATAAAAGACTCAAAAGGACAGATCCCTCTGAGAGTCACACGTAGCCAGCAAAGGATGACAACCAACATGGTTGTGCTGCCTCCCCACGGAGATGACTCCTGTGGGGCAGAAGCCATGTTCCAGCCACGCCAAACAGAAGGTGGGCCTGCTCGACGTGGGCTCTGCTCCTCTCCTCCCTTTAACGAGGGCCCTCGCTGCATGCAGAAAGCCCTGGACAGCTTTCGAGGTGGGACTGCACTCCTCTATCCTAGCAGGCGGGTGAACGAAGCAGGGCCGTGGAAAGACCATGGGGGATCCTCTATCCCACTAGGGGAGATGGCAGGCTAGGACCTGACCAGCTCAGTGGGCTGCTGAGGGCTCTGCAGGCCAATTATTACCACGAGTAGCTTATCTGATCTTTTGGAAGAATTCCTGTACTGCACTGGGATTGGGCTGGACATAAAATTTTCTCCTGTGGTAGGCAAACAGGCTTCCACCACACTTCCCATCTGAATAGTTAGTACCTGCTCATTACTTTTTTTATTAGAGACCTCTTCATTGTCAGAAAACCTTCTGGCAGTCCTGTCATTCTAAGGTCCACTTGCAAAATGGAATGGGAGGAGAAAAGTAAAAAGCCGGGAGAATCCGCTTAAGAGTTTCTAGAGTTCACAGGAAACAAGGAGCAGCAAGGGTGGGTGGCATGCCTTGCAGGGACAGGATCAAGCAGGCTGGTGGCCATGACAGCAGATGGCTGTGGTCCGGCCTTTCTAAAAGCAGCAGGCTGAGAACAGCCTGGTGCCACATTCAGTCTGAGGCATGCGTTCACCCAAACCAGGGACTAATGTTCACTCCAGACCGCAGCACAGGGAGGTACAGCATACAGGGAAAGGGAGATAGAGACAGGAAAAGGTAGACAGGTAAGCATTTCCCCTTTTCTTTTTATATGCTTTTGTTCTCTTCAAGGCAAAGTAAAACTCAGAAATCTACTGGAAGCTCTGGAAAGCTCGCCTTCTAGCATCCATCCATGCTGTGAAAACGCATGTGCTATACCTAGTGTACCAAAGAGCACAAGAAGTTTCCAGTCCCCGAGTGGGAGGAAAGAATTCTCATTGGGTGTGGTTAACAGGCACCTGCAGTCCCAGCTACTCAGGAGGCTGAGGCAGGAAAACTATTTGAGCCCAGGAATTTAAAGCCAGCCTGGGCAACACAGCAGGACCTCATCTTAAAAAAAAACGATAAAAAAAGAAAAGAAATATATACCAGGGGCTAGGGATTTGGCTCAGTGGTTCTGCCACCTGCCTCAAAAGTGCAAGGTCCCAAGTTCAATCCCTGGTACCCCCACCCCCCCACCCCCATCAGGGCTGGTGATGGTATACTCCAGTGCTAAAGCACTTGCTTAGCATATTGAAGCTCTGGGTTCAATTCCCAGCACTGCAAAGAAAAAAAGAATTCTTTCTCTCCAGGAGTGTCATCCAAACTGGCTTCTGACATGACACTCCGTGGTGCGGTACCCAGGGGGAATAGTGCCCACACCCTGAAATGGCTTTCTAACCTACTTGGCTTCTGTGCTCCCCTTCTGCGCTTCAGAGATAGTTCCACGCGGGAAACAAGCTGAGGCATGGTTAGCTGTGGAGGGGGCGCACAGACGCCCTTTCCAGCTGTGTATGGCCCAGCCTGGAGGCTGGCTGGGGAGGTTGCTCGGGAGACGCTCTCTGTGCATCCTCTTCTCCTTGCACATGCAGTAAAGCCACAAACCTTGTCCAGTTCCGTGGGGCAAAGCTCCATTTCTCTCCTCCCACTGAGGGGTCATGCCCTGCACTCCTGATGACACGGACCCCTGTCCCGAGCCAGCACAGACCAGCCGGCCAGGATGTTTCCAGGGCTCACTGTGACTGACTGAAGCCACGGCCAAAAGGAGATGCCTCTTTGTTAGGAAAGTCAAATAAGTCTTAAAACACTGACAGTCATGTGTAATGACATAACCGATAAACAGAGGAAAGGTATTTGAGGTTTAGATAATGGATCGATGCTGGGAATTACACCTTGGGCACCCCACACACTAGACAAGTGCTGGACCACCGAGCCACATCCTGGCCTTTTCTATTTCACCGAGGGAAGCCCTCATGGCGGTGTCCAGGGTGCGCCCTGACCTCCTGCCCTCCTACCTCAGCCTCCAAGTCCTTGGCTTACAGCACACACCACCACGCCCGAGGATTAAGTACTAGTCCTCCTACCAACTTCTTCACAGGTCATGATCTACTTAGGGAAAAAAAGCAGTGGTGGGGACAAGGAGAGGGGCTGGAGCGCCATGGGCAAGAAAGTGGCAGGTGAAGTAAATGATAGGAGTCTGTGCGGTAGTACAGCTTCCCTGGGGGATTTAGTGCCTGCTATGAGAAGAAAAGAGTTTTCTTCCATTCTGTTTCAAATTAAGGACTTCCCACCATGGAAACTGAGATGCCTCCATCCTCTCCTCTTAAGTACTGGGGCTTCAACCCAGGGCCTTCACACTAAGCTACATCCCCTACTCTTTTTTATTGTGAGACAGGGTCTTGCTAAGTCACTGTTTCCCAATATGGGCTCCAACTTTGAATCCTTTTGCGGCAGCTTCCCAGAGTGCTGGGATTAGAAGCATATACCACCACGTCTGGCTCTCTGTTTTATTTTATTTTATTTTTTTTTTGAGACAGGTTCTTGCTGGGTAGCCCAGACTGGCCTTGAACTTGCGGCAATCCTGCCTCAGCCTCCGGCATGCTGAGGTTATAGATTTGTACCACCATTCCCGGCTTGGTTGTCTCGTTTTTTTGTGACATTTTCACTATGTAGTTCAAACTGGTCTTGGCTTAGACTGGCCTCCAACTTCCAAGGATCCGCCTGCCTCAGCCTTCCAAATGCTGGGATTACAGGTGTGAGCCGCTGCTCTTGGCTCTCAATTTTTAAGGGTACCATCATTTGATGTACTTTAAGAAGTAAAATACACTGTCAATTAAATGACAAATTTTTCTTATCACACTGTTTTAAGTACCCTAATTCTGAGAAAACTAAGTAAAAAAAAGAAAAAGAAAAAGAAAAAGAAAACCTTTAGAAATAATTAAAATGGTAATAGTAAAACAATTCCATCACTGTGCTTTTGAAAATTTAACTTTGTATTTGTTATATTTCAGCCTGAAGCTCAGTAACTTACACTCTACTGGAGCTGACACAGATTTACTAGCAAACATCTTGGAATTCTATGTCAACTTGTAAACTAGTTTTTAAAATCTCAAACTGCTGCCTGAAAACTGCATTTTACAAGAACGGACCAGACTATGAACACAGGGGACCGGGCGTGGCGGCGCACTCCTATAATCCCAGCACTCGGCAGGCAGAGGCAGAGGATCTCTGTGAGTTTGAGGCCAGCCTGGGCTACACAGTGAGACCCTGACTCAAAAATAAAATAGAATAAAATAAAAATGAGGGCACTGAATGAGCAAGCAGGAACCCTGGACCACTCATCTCTAGGTGATATTGTAACCACAAAGCACCAGACCCCTGGCCACCAGCTTGCCTGAGGGATACGAGCTCCTTTCTGGAACACCCTCAACACCTTCCCAGGAAAGGGACTTTTGAGGCAGCTGCTGCCACTGGCATGGGAGTGTGGGGTGGCCTAGTGTCTTGGAACAGGTGTCATCTGTGGCCCAGGTAGACACTGGCCTTTCATCCTTTCCTCTTTCTCTGAGTAAATCCAATCCCCTGTGCCAGACATGGACGTGAACACAGACATTCCCAAGGTGAATGCTTTGGTGGCCCCAGCCTTCCATGCCTCAGAGTCCCTCCTTCCCTAAGGTAAACAGGAAGCTCCAGCTGGAGTGAAGCCTGCATCTCTCTCTTCCACAGCCCTGAAATCCACTCTGGCCTCACTTTTTTTTTTTTTTTTTTTTTT